ATCTTTCTCTGTATGTTCTTCTGCTACATCTGGAAAATCTTAAACCGATTCATAGTATTACTTCAGAAAAAGGTCAAAGGTGATTTCAAACGCTATTTTCAAATTTAGTATTGTTTTTAAACGACGAATGCATTTTCTAATTTTTTTACTTCTATTTTCTTAATGTTGTACATGCCGCTTGGTTTTTCACATTTTTCACAGCTTGCTCCGGAAGTTCGAATTGTCCGCATCTGGGATTTCCAAAGAAAAAAAAAATGTAAACTTGACGAAGTAAATAGGAATCGATCTTCTTGTGGATGAGAAGGTCAATATCTTTAAGACTCTAACTAATCTCCTTAATTAATGTGGCTGCATAGTGTTTTGGATCATTGTGACTGCCTATTCACTTTACTTAAATATCTTTACAATTCATTCTAATCTTTTTCTGCAGCAATTTCTAAATCCTATTTTTTTACTCCCTCTATTTCAAAATATAAGTTGTTTTAGCGCAAATATTAAGAAAACTATTTTTCTACTAAAAAAATATCATTTAATATATTTATTAAAAATAATTTGGCCAATCATACAAAAAACTGCAAAATACTAGTGGTCACACAATATTCAATAAAGTTAAAAAAAATACATAGGATTGTCAAAACAACTTATATTTTGAAACAAAAAAAACCTCCAGATCTCCGTTAAAGAGAATTTATTCGCTAAATTCCAAAAGCAATTGCAAGAAGAAGAATGATGTGTCATCGTGAACTTTGATTTAGCCACCAAATATTGGAACTTTTAGATGCGTTCGCACACCCAACATACAACAACACACAACTGATCTACTACCTACAGAGTGAAGATCTAAGCACAAAGAGATCACTACATTTTAGGATGTTGGGCTTCAACAATCAATATTCATCAACAAAACCGAAACTGTTGTCGAAGGCTCATGATAAAAAGGGGAAAGAATTATAATCTATTGAGTGTTCTACTGAAAATCAAGTCGTTCTTTTTCATTCAACATGTATTTATAAATTTAGCAACCCTACTTTCTCACGTTTAATATGCCTTTCTAACTCATTTGTTTCAACTGCTATTTTCAATTATGACTCATTTGAACTTTTCCAATGTAAAAATGAAAAATAGATGGAATTTATACCATCTCAGACTACGTGCTTTTCAATGTACCAACCTTTAGTATGATCTTTCATTCAAACCTTTTAACATTCCTTAGAAGTAAATATTTCTCTAAAGATACACGGTGATATTATTTTGTTAAATGAATCAAACTCAAACTATGCCCGTGCGAGAGCACGGGTCATAACACTAGTTAAATATATATTTTGATAGATACAATAACAGAGTGATGCAGGGAAATGAGTTTTTAGTCTTGTGTCTGTATAAGTTATTGTCTCTCTTAAGTATGGTGAGTCAAATGAATATTGTCTTTGTTGGCCAATGCAATTGTCACTCGAAATCTAGCAGAGGTTTCCTCGAACGCGCAGCGTTGTTTTGCTCTCTCTGTTCTCTAACACTAAGAAGAGCTTTGCGTCGAGCTTCAGCGCTTTCCAAGTACTCTTGTATTGGAGGGAGAGTGATTTGTTGTTGTTCTCCACTGGCTTTTGCTCGACGAATCAACTGTCCAACAATACAAAAGGTTAATAATTTGCAGTCGAGTAAGATTTGAGTGTAGAAGACGAAATATGGTTATAAAACCTTTGAAGCCCATGTTCGTTCTGCTCCTTGACATACATCCCGAATATCCCTGCCTGACATTCTGCATAACCAATTATTCGGTATGGATTCATTTAATACTAAGCAGAAAGTTTCGAACTTTAGAATGATATGAGGATACAAAGTTAGAAACTTTACGATTCTGTGGCTTGAGCAAGCTGGACTAGTTCAGTCTTTGAGAGTTGTTTAGCGTATTGGGCGATGATTTCTTGACGAGTTTGTAAGTCCGGTAATCCAAACGTGATCATGGAATCAAACCGGCTAAACATATACAAAAGGAAAGAAAAACACAGGGACACTGGTCAAGACACTGCAGCCACAAGTAGAACTGGTCAAAGAGGTTTTATTGCTTACCTGATCAAAGCGGGATCAAGATCTTGTTTTCGGTTGGTTGCAGCAATTACAACCACTTTTTTGTCCTGTTCAAACCCATCAATCTGCAAAAAGATAGAAACAGCCAAACAGGTTCATCATTTCGGCATTTTCTAGTCTCTCCTTGGTATGTGATATTGTGGCAATTTTGTGTGTATTACCTGCCTTAGTAGTACAGATAAAACTCTACGAGTTGCTTCATGCATCTCACTATCACGAGAAATAGCAAAGGCATCAATCTGAAATGTGAAAAGAGAGGGGAACTTTGTAAATCATACACAAATCGATATAGAATAAGCTTAAAACTGTAAAAGAAACATCATTTCTTCACCTCATCAAGAAATATAATTGCACCATCACAGAGCTCATTTGCTTTTGAAAACACAGCCCCAAGAAGCCGCTCGCTTTCACCATAATACTTGGACAGTACAGCTTCAAGCGGCACATACAGCAACGGAATGCCCTGGCAATAAATCGCAAATAGTTCGAGCTCAAGACTCAAAGAATCGTTATGTTCAAACGGGTTTGCAAGTTGTCGACTACTCACCGCCTGATTAGCAATAACACGCGCACAAGATGTCTTCCCAGTTCCTATGGTTAGGATTTACAGACATCAGAATAAATCTTTGGTTTCTAAAAAGAAGGACGAATTGCTCGGTGCACTAACCTGGTGGGCCCTCAAATAGCACAGCCCGGGGTCTATTTGATTCAAACTTGGACCGTGTTCCACGGACTATGTCATCATATACTTCAGGACTATGAAGGGCCATCAATATCGTATCTTCTATCTCTCTGCATCATGATAGAAGCTAATATAGCAAATGATGGGATACAAGAGCAAATATGTAACCAAAGCTTACCGCTTTTGCTGATCATATCCAGCAATATTGTCCCATGATATCTCATCGACAGAATCATCCCCAAGAGGTTTGTTAACTCCATAGATTCTCACACCCATCGCTTCCAATTGAGAAATAGATTCGTTCATAGATGGTTCACGTGATCCATTTATTCCTCTACCTCCCTTATTTTGTCCAGCTTTCGTACCAGCTACTTGCAAAGCTGAAACAAAAGCCTCGAGTTCTTCAGTAGTCAAGCTTCCCTTCTTTATGAACTCAACTTCCTAAAACATTTTGTAGCATAAGATGTTATCAATCAAGAAAACCAAAGATCATTTGAGGAAGAAGTGAGTAAATATCCGAAAGAGGGACGAAACTTAACTGCTTTATCAGAGGTAATTAAGGAACCAAAGATAAGAATGCACAAGTCTTCATCTGCTTCATCCTCAGTCCCTCCTGGTTCCTTCTTGTTTTCCACACTACGAAGTGTTACTTGCCATGCGACAGGACTGAAGTAACAAGAAAGTACCGTTTTCATTTTCAATTATACATCACTCTTACAAAACTCGTTCTTGGAAAAACTTAGAGAGAACAAGAGAATTACTTGTCCCAAGCACGCAACAGCATGTCTGAACCACCAGTTTGATCTGAGACTTTCACACCTAGTTGTGATCCAATGTTTGCTATTAACTGCGCGACTTCGCAAGTAGAAGGAACTTGGAACTTCAAGGTAATCTACAACACAAAACACTCTTAAAAATCCTTCCTTTAACACATTTCCAAATCACAATTAATCGAAACTAGAGAGAAAACCAAAAAAAAGAAGAGATCATTGCAGAAACCTTTTGACCTCTGACAGCAACATTAAATCGTGGATAAGAACCCGTTCGAGTTCCTTTACTTTTGATTAGTTCTTCAATTCGAGCACGTTCTTTCTTGGCAACGTCTACATAGTTTTGTGGAGGATCTACAGGGGCAGATGACTTGTTGTCATTAGCCTGCAACATCGTATTAAAGTTATACATAACGACTAATTCATCTATCAACACTGATGAATTCGATTAATTCTTGTCGTCTGTGTTACCAAACCTCTTCAGATTCAGCATAAGCTACTCCTATTGATCCAACGCTTAATAGAGCACCCAAAACTGCAGGTCCCATGGAAAAGCAAGGAGAATCGTTTTGTGTGCTACAAGATCTCAAGACTGTACTAACTTTTGAATTACTCTGCTCAAAGGTTCCTGCAAAATCAAAGACAAAACCGTACTAAGAAGCAAATTGTCAAAATTCAAGGTAAGAACAAATGAAAGTCGGGATTTTTATGTAAGGGATCATAAGAAATTCCTCAAAAGTACAAATTTTTATACAAATTGAACGAATTCGATCGAAACCCACCAAGAAAATCAGAGGATCATCACCAAATTATTATAAAAAAAGATCACAAATGCTTGAATTAGTAAAACAAACCGTGAAGTGTACCGCGATAGAAACTGCGACGAAGCTCTAGTGCTCGTGGGAGTGAAGGAACCATGGATTTAGGATGAGAGAGAGATCCGCGCCATGCTCGAGTTGCTCGAAATAATTTGTCTAGAACCGCCATTGGAGTGATTTCTCAAGGTTTCTCGAACCCAAAACTCGTAAGAGCTTTTGCTTCAGAGAGGGTTTATGAGGTTTTTTGAGGATCTGACCGTACCAAGTAGTTTACGGTGTTGTTTCAACCTTCCAGAGGAAAACCAACCGGTTCTGTTCACAGATAACCGGTTTAAGTGAGTCTATATGGGATGTGCCGGTTGATTAGCTAACTTATTCAATCAATGAATTGATTAAATTTCTTTATTTGTGTACCATTGGAGCTCACTTTGTGGGAGAGCAAGCCCGATACTTAAGAGACGACACTTATTTGCAACTGGTGATGTCTCGGTTTCGCTTCACCAATGCTATGTTTCAATCTTGATGCAATGCTTAGCTGGCCGATCGAGTATCACTAAAGAGATTGTGGAAGTTCTACAAACAACTGGGAAGCTCGAGAAGGTTCTTCTGCTGATGGTGGCTAAACATTCAGAGGAATTATATTACGGCTTCCGAGGCAATGGATCGAGGAGAAGTTGAAGACAGTTCAAGAATGTCTGAGCAGAGCAAAGGAAGCTAAAGTATGTTTATCAAACCTTTAACTTCCGGTTAAAGTACACAAAAGGATTCATCTGTTTAAATCTTTCATTTTTTGTTTGTAGACTTGGAACCCGAAATAAATATCGGAACCTTATGCACAATCTGCTGGAGAGTTGATGAAGCTAGCGAATGATGTAATCGATGAGTTCTTGGACAAGGTAAATATTTGTTCTACAATTTCAACTCTTTGATATCACAGGGACTAGCATATTAGACAATTTTTAGCTATTCTGGGATTCTCAGTACAAATTTCCATCATTCTCTTGTTATATAGTAGATTTGTTTTCACTATTTTGTTTGCTCTCTGAATCAAGATAATTTGTATGCATTATTAGTTCTTATTTATACTCCATAGGGGATGATGACCTTTTGTAGGTTTTTTTTTTTATAAGTTTTAAATGCATGTGAAATACATGGAAATGATCAATTTTTATATGCTAAGAGATCATGAGACTTGGGAGTTCGAACTATGCTTTCTTATCGTCATAGTTCTCAAACATGGTATCTTACAGTTTCTTCTCTTTCTTTAAATCTATAGTGCCACATAGGATTCAATGGCCTCGATTCTAAAATTTGAGTCCCACACCGTTTTCATTCTATTTCTAAGGTTCTCTTGCTTTACTTCCGCTCTGAATTTGTTTACACCCCTCATACCATTTTCATTCTATTATTTCTCGATATTTTTCTTTTCCTAAAGAGAAATTGGTAGTAGTACTTTTTCATGAGATAAAAAGAAAAAAGAGTGGTTGCGTGCTTATCGTTAGACGTTCTTTATATAGATTAACCACTTCCAGAGAACCCTAATTTTAAGTGCCCTGTTGTATTCCTAGGTGAGGAAGCAAGGATTGGATCATGTTTACAAATACTGCCTAAACCCAGTAGTAACCAACAACAACATCATACCAGTTACCAACATCCTACCCACAACATACCAATATGAGGTAGGAAAAGTCATTTTGCTTCAATACGGTTCCAATAGTTTCCTTTGCTTGGATTTTGTTTTCCATTTGTTTACGCCATCAGTCTGATAAATGAACTAACTCAATCATTTAACATTTCCTTCACAATACGTGATCCCTCTAGCCCTTCAATATTTGAGTTTTATGGTTCAAACCCAAGGCAAAATGATGCATGTAATGAGAAGTTATAGCTTCGTTTTCTGTGAAATAGGAATTGCTTGTTATATGTGTGAGTTATTCTCAATAATCAATATGCAGAAAAGGTACACGGGATGATGAGGCAGACCGTGATGTAATTTTGTAGTCGCAGCCATTCGCAGCAAAAGCTAAATTTTGAAAACTTAAATCATTCCGTAGTTTTATTTGTTTTGATGAATTTGATATTTGAAATCTTTCTTTTTTTCATTCATCACTTGAGTAAGTGTGCCTCTGTCTATAGTTTTTTTTTAGCTATTAAATCTCATAAACATAGCGCTTATTTCTTTAGTTTACACTTCTTTAGTTATTAACCTTTAGGTGGATTCGATATTTGGATAAAATGGTGCGATATTTGGATGGTAACTGAAAACATTTTTTTTATGAAAACTCAAACTTGTGTTTAATGGATTGTCCACGCGTTGGGTTGATTTAAAAATTAACATGGTAAAATATGCAATAATTTTAGCTTATTGATTATTTGTGTATTTAATATTACAATGCAATAAGTCTAACTTATTGATTATTTGTGTATTTAATATTACAAAATTTTGTTATTGTAGTAAATAATTATCTAAGTTAGAAGATTAAACATTTGGAACAAATTGTGGGACATATACACTGTTGTATGTGAAAAAAAAATCGATTGTTCATTAATAAAAATTATAGCGTATGCATATGGAAGATATATTCTTTTATAAAAATCCATAACTTTATGTTTCTATCAATATTCACTACAATTCTCTTGATTAATTTTTTACACCATTTTTTGTTAATGTTAAGATTCTTTTTATTAAAGTTTTTTGTGAATTTTTGTTTTAAAATCGTAGTTACCTATCTAAAGTTTTAAATATTTATGTATTGTATATTTTTGGGTTTAATAAATAAAATATATATTTTTCAAACCGTTAAAAGTTTACAATAACACATTTAATTTGGAATTACAATTTTTGGTGGATATCAAAGAAAGGAAAAAAAATGTTTAAAGTATTATTGGCTTATTATAGTGAAACTGGTCATCCTTATATTACACTTTAATTTTTGGAATTAACTTATATTAGACTTAACTATTAAATTGTAAGAATTAATTGTTAAAGTTATTAAAATAAAAACACTTAATTTTCTTTTTATTTTTAATAAACAAATCAAAAAGACAAATATCAATAGATGACACATGTCATCCTCTCATAATTTTAGTATAAAAAAACTTTAAAATATTATATAAGATGTTAGAGTGTAAAAAAAAATGCTTGCGATTAACTAACTTTGTTTTATTATCAAATACAACACATACAAAATTAACAGCAATGGTTTAATATAAAAATGAATTTTAACAACGTTAAGTTTTTTTTTTATTTTTTTATATAGTTTATAATATTGTCAAAATCATTTAACAAGATAGATATTATGGTTCATCAATTTTTTGTTTTCTTATGGTTCATCAGTCTTTACATCATTGTTTAAATATGGGGTTTTGTTTTCTTTTGGCCCATTAACGTAATTTTCCAATTGAATCAAATTAAAATTATGGGCTTCGTTGTTTTTGTGTCCCATTAACGTAACAAGTAATTGAATCCTCTTAGGTTAAACGAAATCCCTTGATCGCTCGTCTCTCTCTTTGTCCAGCTTGTTGTGTA